GATGAATAAATATCATAAGCGCCTGGTGTATGAAATAGGATACAAAAAATTATCATATTTGAAGTTTACCTAAAAAAAATCAATTATGTCTAGAGGTGCAATAAAGAGTTCACATTAAAAAAAATAGAACTTTCAGACTATTATTTCATTGAGGTTTCACAGGTTACTAATTAACAGAATGCAGCAGTAACCGATCAGAAAGCAGCACAGACAACCCTCTAGAAATGTCCCATCTTTCGCTGCTGTTCCATGAGAGATAAGTACCTTTGCTGCACTGTGTATTTTGCCTAGCAATACACTATTGCCATTTTATTGTTAATTTATGCCATTGTTTCTATATTATTTTTACTGTATAAGTGTTTTTTGATGCAGTGATTTCTTCTATAGCAGTTATCTAATTAATTTATTTAATAAGAATAATTCATTTAATCATGTATATATTTATTCTCTAATTTCTTTATTCTATTAATTTTGTAAGGTTGACTTAATTATTACAATTATATACAATTACATTATTTCACTTTTTAGTTGACATGCTGTGACACAGCTTCAAATTACGTTGCTCTGTTTTTTAAAATTTTCTTTCCTTTCAAATGTGTGTATTTTATCTCATCATTTCTACTAGTTTGTACCATTGATGGTATTAGCGTACGGCTCCTTGAGGAACTGATTCCTGTGGGGTTAAGTATAAAAGGTAATTCTGGTCGAAACATTCTAAAAGTTAAGCATTCTGCAGGAACATTCCACTGGTTTCCATGGTGACCATTCCACATTAAGAACTTTGCCCCAAAAGTACCCTTTATACATAACCCCAATAGTGGTTATTGTTTATATTGATTCTCCCTGTGGAAGCCATCTTGAGTTGGTTGGCGTTTCCTTACGTTCATATAATGTATATCATGTGTAGATAATAATTATTTTTTTCTTTAGACATTGTTACTCTGGTTACATTAGGGTATGGCTTTTCGAGCTCCAGACTTATATAGATTTATTTTGGGCTTGCATCGGCCATTATGGATTGTTTGACAATACCCTTGTTTGCCAATCAACTGTATTCTGAGTCAGGGCCGGACTGG